AATATGAACTCAAGATTATCAAGTAGGAGTACTCATACAATCATCCAATCAAACAAACATAGCTAGGGTTCCTCAAAACCTAAGTGAAGGGAAGTTACTCCATAGAGAAAAGAGAGACTGCAGTAAGAATCTTCAGATGATCAGTCTTCAAGTCCGGGCTTGTTCCTCGAGCTTCCAAGGCGAAGAAATCCTCCAATTCCACTCTTAGAATGCCCTCAAATCGCCCTCTCTCTCTTTGGTTCGTCCCTTGGGTGTTTGGGATCCAAAACCCAGCTCTCTCTCTCAAAAACGCACAAAACAGGCTTTTAACAGCCTGCGTCCGCGATCCCCGGTCGAAATACCCGGTCGGGTATTTTGGTTTTCGACCGGGTAATATCAAAACGCACCGTTTCTTCAAAGGGGAAAATCCCCGGTCACTCTCCATAATCCCCGACCGGGGGTTTAAGCTGTTTGCCCGGGCCCCCCTCTGTTTCTCGCGGGGCGCCCAAATGAATAATACCCGGCCGGGTATTTCCATGCATCAGCCGCCTTCGACACAACTTCGCTCCTTTCGACCCAGAACTTGTTTCTCCGCCTCGATTCCAACGCCGGGACATGAAATATGACATAAACACACACCCTAGCGTGAAATCGGCTTAAAACACTAGAATCCACATCTCAAACGGCTTCAGAAAAGGGGTGAAAACATGTGTAAATATCGGTCTATCAATCCTTAAATCATGCTAAAACACAAGAAACCTCGTGTAAAACCACCCTTTGAGGAGCACAATGCCCACAGACGCCTAAGAAAAATGGGGGTAAAATATGTACAATTAGGCCCGAATCGTAAGTCATTATGAAAATCTTATGCAACGCTTCTGATTTAACGATTACGTAAGAAACAATTGTCATTCGGTAAACTTTACATAAGGTAAGCATATTTTACGTAACATGTGTAAAAAAGTCAATAAGTGATGACCTGCACTCCCGATTACCATTATTGGTAATCAACAGGTTAATTTGATTTTAATATATTTTTACGATATAGATTCATGCAAGTTACATAACTTGAAATTATATCCAAGTTACTGTAGGTGGTCCCTAATTTCTTATTTTATGTTTTATCGTTATTCGCAACTACTTAATTATGAAGTTCTCAATTAGTATAAAAGAAAAAAATATATAAAAATAGGAAGAAATGTGTGATTACCGTTTTCTCGAATTTGATCGATGTAGAAGCTCATAGAGAAATGGAATTTCATTGCGTCTTACATGGAGAAAAGCAAGACAACAAAATGGCCTCCACTTCCCACTTATAGTCATATTTAAATAAATAGTTGGTCAGTCATAGGAAAAAATAACAACCATGCGAGTAAAACGGTAACCCCACATTTTCCCACCCCTATCATGAGGGTTTAGATATGTAATCTTTTATAGGAGATGAGTTTTAATAGGTACGTTAAACTTCATTTCAGTCATTAAATATATATATATTGAGAAAATGTATTAACCGACTCAAAAAGATCGGACTCTAATCATACCAATAAACCTCAAACTACTTGCTTGGCCTACTCAACGACTTAAAGGGATTTAACAACCTTGATATTGATTATGGCTTGGTTGCAAGCACAGAAGGAGAGGGGGAGGCGAGATGATAGTTATGGAAATAATAGGGGGAGATCCATTCATTAAATCATGATTCTTTGTTTCATCGAAATCTGTATCAAACTTTATTAATCAGCAACTAATGTTACATTGTCCACGCTTAGCTGATCAAGAAAAATCACTGGTGGCCCTATCTAGCCAAATAATACTCTCCTCCCATCTAGTCTCTACATGCGCCATAACATGTGTTGCTTTATTAGACTCCCTGTATATAAACTGCCATCGACCTTCTCCCTAGGGCTGCAAACAAGCTGACTCGAGTCGAGTTTTTGCTTAGCTTGAGCTTGGCTTGTTTATAAATATTTCAGCTAGAGCTCGACTCGAACTCGAATTTTGATAATCCAGCTCGAGCTTGGCTCGATTAAAAATGATTCAGCTCGAGCTTGACTCAGTAGAGCTCAATAAATGCTCCTTAACACATCTTGTCAAGCTGAGTACGAAATCGGCTCAAGATAAGCTCAATTTGAAATAATTTTTGCTGAAAAATGTGTACACATAAGAATTTGAATGGTATAAAGAACATTAGAAACTAAAAATAAAAACTAACTTCCATACATATACGGATTAACAAGATAATGTTCATGTTCAGAAGAAAAAATAATCCTTCTACAAGCTCTAAACAAGCCAGCTCGCAAGCTTAACTCAACAAGCCATCGAGTCAAGCTAGCTCACGAGCTTATCAAGCTCAACATGTTCTAGCTCAAGCTTGGCTCGTTTACTAACGATGCGGTTTGCTAGCCGACTTGTTAAATAACGAGTCGAGTGTCGAACGAGTTTTTTCCAATTCGAACGTCTGAGTTGCTCACGAGCGGTTTGGCTCATTTGCAGCCCTACTTCTCCCATCCGTTCAAGATTCCTGCTAATATTCCGGCACAACACTCCTAGTTGACTGTGTACCTCCTCCTCCGCATCCAGCAACTGCATCATTTTCATACTATCCGATTCGAGGATCGGATTTGTAGTATGGTTTTGTCATGCTAGCTGGACCCCAAAGTCTGCTGCCATAACTTCAGCCATAAGGGGTGTCCAAGTGCCCCGGATCTACCTGGCCGCTGCCATCACACATCTTCCTTCGGAGTTTCGCATTACGACACCCAGTCGTGCTCCACCACCAGGTAAAATGCCAGCGTCCGTGGCAATCGAAGTCGTCCCAGCCCTTGGACGAATCCAAATTTTAGAGGCCGGTGTAGGTTCTGACATATTAGCTTCATGTGGTGGGCGGTCATTGCCTTGCTGTTGTTGGTAGTTCTCTAGGAACTCTTTTGCCGTCGGGACAATTATTTCTTCTTTCGCTCTTCTGGCTGACGTGGTCACCCCGTCGGAAGCACATTACGCATAAAGCTCCATAAGAAGTGCTTCACCTTTGGGGGAATTTTTAAATTCCACATCTGTTTCCATACCTCTGCATCACCCATTGCATGCAAGCCATGCATGGTCTGATAGACTTGAAGCCACCTCTTATACCCTTCGTTCACAATGAATTGACCAGAGTTGCTGTAATGGCATATGATCTTGTCCCTCTCCTGATCATGCCTGAGTTGTATTTGCTGTATAAGAACCGCTACGTCCAGCAGGAAGCAGCTTTTCACCACATTCGAATCCATTAAATCATGATTCTAAAATCCAAAACTTGTATAACATGGAAAGAATGCAGGGCTAGAAGCCTAGAACAAAGGAGGAGGGGCTGAAACGACATCGATAGAAACGACCAGTATAAATGCTCTTAGTGAACACTAAGCTCTATTTAACTTTATATATATATTAATTAATAACTAGGAAGTGAATGCGCGTCAAGACGAGGTCGTTAGTCTTCTCTAAATTATATTGTCGCAACCGTCCCTCCGGGGTCGTCGGGGTCGCGTTCGCTTTTGGGAGTCGCCATCGATCTTATTTGGAGTGGATCGAACACTTTTAGATCGGCTCTAACCTTAGGGTCAGAACCGAGACTTGGTCTGCAAAATAGAAATCTAGGTTCGGGAGTACGGTTATGTGTGGGGAAGTTAAGCAACACCCTCACAACGCCCTAAATCGGTACTACTTAAGTTTGATAAGTTTTATATTAATTGGGTGTATTTTTAGTAATAATGTTTCAATTTTAGGGTCCCACTGGACCATTTTATGATTTTATCGTATTAGTTTATTATTAGGTATTTTAGGTATTTTTAGGGCCTTACCAGACCGCTAAAGGATTTAAAAAATATTAGTTGTATTAATTATACGCCCACTGACGTACAATTTAAAGATAAAGTTAATTGGTTAGTTGGACTCGAACCTTATCTGTTGCCTACGTACCCGTTAGACCGGATCAAAGTCCACGTAGTTCGTTAGGAACTTTGATCATTTTAATTATATCTTTTGCTGCGTTCCACATTCAACATTTCGTATTAGGGATTTTAAACCAAACAAACTTTAATGGGGCGATTACATTTATGCATGATGGGCTAGCAGCCCAACTGGCTAAAATGCCATTCGTATTCGCTCGTTTGAACGCGAGGAACCGGTTCGAAACCCTCTTGGCACAATTTTTTTTTAGATTCATCGTTTTATTTCAGAGAAGGGGGAAGGGTAGTTTCGTAAATCCACTTAAACGCGGTGGCAAGGCCACATAAATAATTAGAAACCCTAAGGATAATTATGTCGTTTTAAAAGAGGAGAATTATATTCATCTCAATAAACCCTAATCATTCTAACCCTAAAGCAAAATTGGCCGCCTCACTCCTCTCGACCCTCTCTTCTCTCATCTCTCTCTCTCTCGTCTTCTTCAGAAGAACGAACCCCTAGCCATCATCTAACACCGCCGCCGCCATCCTCTCTCTGCCTTCTCAACCTCTCTCGCCTCTCCTCCAAATCAAAACCCTAGCCTTCGATCGCCGTCTTCTCCCCTCTTACCTCTCTACCGCCGCCGCTCTTCTTCTCCTCCTCTCCTCAAATCGGCGAAACTCACTCTCTTCTTCCTCGTCTTGGCTAAACAAAGACCCGGATCGGGTTAACCTGACCGCGAAGGCTCTGATCCAGGTAAAATACCGACATGCAAGACCTTTTGCTCTAGTTTTCTGTTTTGGGGGTTTGGTTTTGGACGAGGGGAGAAGAAACCCGAGTCGCCGGCGACGATCAAACCGATGGACGATTATGGTAGGCTTAGTTTTATTTTTTTTTTTTCGACTGATTTTCTGGTTTCTGGGTTCTAATATTTTTTGTTTCGGTCGAGTGAAGGAGGAGGAAATTTTGGCGGCTAAGATCTCCGCCGGCGATGGTTTGACGATGGCAGTGGCGGGTGAGGTTTTGGTTTGCATGTAGGTTCTTCTATTTCAATTTCAAAAACTGGATTCTGATTATATTTTGTTTTTGGGTTTCGGATTTGGACGAGGAGGAGAAGGGAGCAGCGGGGTCGACAGGAGGATGAAGAACATCACCGTCGGCGATGCTTTGGTGCAGGTGGGATTACTGAATTTTAATTTTTGTTCTTACTTGGATTTGGGTTGGTACTGACCCTTCTATTTTTGTTTCGGCAGGTTATGGAAATGGACCGATCTAGGTGAGGTTCTCCTATCCTCGGTTTGGTTAAGGATTTTTAATCTCAAAACAAGATTATTTATGGAAGATTTGAACTACTCTACAAATCTGGATTTTGGGAAATATGGTTGTATATGCGTATTCTGGATCTAGGATGAATCTGGGAACCATGGACATCACCCGTAAATCACTTTGATTTTTATGCTAAAAATGCAACGAAACCTATTTTAGTTCTATAATCACAGCCGTGCTTGTGATTTTTGCTACACTAGGATTGATTTTGAAAATTGTCGTGGATTTATGGATCTGGAATTTACTGTGAAATAGCAAATTAGCAATCCTTATATGCTTTGGCTCTTGTGTGCTATCATTAGAAAAACAAAGTTGTTTAAAAGGAAAGCTAGCTCATCGTCATCGCCACCACTGCTTGCGATCACTAGTATATAAGAAATTATAGTTTTCACTAGTCGTATGATTATTGGTTTGATTGGGATCTGTGTGGTGCATTTATTCGAAAATTATTGTGGGTTTATGAAGAGTACTTAAATGAAGACAAGATGTAGATAGATGATGGCAGTAGTACATCTCATATTTTGATAATAAGGACTGCTCGTACAAGTAATTGAAAGATACATGGCAAAACTGATTCATATAATTATCCAAGTAGAGAAAAGAGTACACAGGTTACCAACCTCAGATCTAAGAAGCCTAATCTTGCTTATGCTTTCCTTGCTTGCAGCTCTTGTAACTAGTAGCTAAGTGAATTTCCCTTAAATCTTGCTCTAATCTCCCCCAAGAAAGAAGAACAACTAACTCGGTGTTTTTCTTCAGCGTTTTTCCCTTCCAAAAGCTGTCCCCAAAACAAAGAGCCCAAAGAGCTCTATTATAGAAAAAGAAAGCGCCACGTGTCACTCGGTCATTCGTCGATTTTGAGGCTGTTTCTGCAAAATTGCAGACCTTCCTTGGAAGGCGGAATCGGTTGTAGATATGGTTGAACCGAGTTGGTCGGGCCTAGATAGATTTGGGCTAAATTATTTCTGTGGATTTCGGGCTCCTGGGCTCGTGACCCGACCTGGGCTCAGATTGTGGGCCAGGATTGTATTTGGAATTTGGGAGCGGACTCTTTTCTTTGATTTGCAGGCTGATGGTATGGGCTCTCCATGTCTATTGGGCTTTCACTTCTCATCTTTGTATTTGTAAATTTGGTTGATGATTAGGGGACTACAAACTTTTGTAATGGTCTTCATTTGTACCAGCTTTTAATTCTTTAATAATACGATCTTGTACTTTCCTTGTGCATTCAAATCTTGAAATCTTGACATCAAACTCGAATGTTTCATCTCATACAAAACTTGATCCTGCCGAAGATCGTATTCGTGTAATCCCTTCTTTGGTGAGACATAGTTTCATAAGTTTAAATGTGGCAACAAGTTTTAACCCGGACAAAATGTGGTGTTTATATATATTAAAAGGTTTCTCGCGGAATGCCTCCCCGCACTTTTCGGTGCTATTTTGCATTTTTCTTTTTTTTCTTATAAAATATTTTAGGCTTTTAATTTTACAGTTGTATTCAATTCGTTAATCTTAGATTTTCATTTTAGAGCCACGTAATCCATTATAAAATTTTCTTGCTCCACGTCAGCCGCCTTTTCCCCCTTCCCATTTCCGCGTTTCTGTCTGGTTTCCTTGACCACCTCCAATACCCAGAATTGTAACCGCCATTGTTATCGCGTTCCACATCATCATTCTTCCTCTCTTCCGCGGCTGATTGGGTAGGGCAAAGACTATACTACCGCATGCGACCCAAGAACCAGGGGCGGAACTAGGACTTGACGTTTGCGCCCCGGGGGGGGGGGGGGCAAAATATATTTTTCGTATTATTGAAGAAGCAAAATGAAAAAAACATAAATAATTTACCAATATTAAGAAAATAAATTTTATATTTATTAATATTATAACGACCTTTCAATACACTTTATGAGATAATTAGATTCGTTCAAATTAAAAGATAAAAGAATATATCTTGTTATTTTGATACAAACGAGTGAATTACCAAAAAAATTAATGTATCAATGCATAATGTCTAGCAAAAGTATTTACTCGTCATATATTCAAAATAATTATTAAATTTTAAAATGAAAAGTTATAAACCTTAAGCAATCATGAAAGTAACATAAGTGAATTGAACTTTTATGTAAATTAAAACTGAAATAAGAAACAAAAATTGAAAGTTAGATGACTAACTTGAACTTCTATGTCAAGTAAACTGAAAAATAAAAGAAATAACAAAAACTGGAAGCTTGATGACTAAATGATATTTTTACGTCAAATGAAATTGGAAAAGAATACAAACATCGTCGTGATTCGAACATGCATCATCAAAGTAAAAATATGCGCCTCTCTTTGGTTGACTACAAGCACATTTTGTTATAGGTTATGCACATGTAAGTATTTTTCTACAAACTTACGTTAATACGTAATTTTAACTAGGAGTTCATACGCAACTTTCAAAATTCTCTGAGAACCGAACAATGCTCTTCCTCTCTTTTGCGCCTGAGCGGAAAGGGAAACGCCCCGGCCAGTCTTCTTCTAATATGTTGGTGCTCGGGAAAGGGAACATCGTGCCCTAACTGTCGCTGACACTGCTTATCTGGCGTATTCTCCTTTGGGTAATTGCTCAACATCTTTTTGGTTCGTTCTCTGCTTCCTCTCTTTTGTCGTTGATTGGGGAAGTTACTGACGCGGACAAACTGCCTGCGGCTGGTGTGGCCTGAGAAGCCAATAGACTCTTGGATAAGCCCTCACAATTGTTATAATGGTTTTTGAACCACATACGATATTGTTCAGCCTATGTCCTGCAAATTTGCTTTTTAATTGATATTTGTTGGAAATTATTTGCTTCCATTGTTAACAACTTGCAAACTTCGTTTGTTTCAAACAAAGTCAGATACGTACTGTGATGCTTGCCTCTTCTGTTAATTCCCAGAATACCGCATAAATTAAACATAATTCCCATAATACATAAGATTTATAAATTTTTTCCAAAATACCCAAGTTTCAAAGGGTTCGAGTTCCAAAAACTCGAACTACTATGTGGATCGACGAATAAGCACTCGATCTACCATCACATCGACTTACTCAAACTCGATCAGCTGTGCATCGATTTATGAACCATCGATCAAGGCAGATCGACGACAAGTAACTCGATGCATATATTGATCGAGTTTAAACAACTCGAACTAGTAGATCGATGCCCAAAAACTCGATCCCATACATCGTCTTTAAAAGCATCGATCCATTTCTGCGCCAGATCGATGAGTTAAAACTCGAGCTACTAAAATCGATTCCGCCGGCCTCGAACCATTACTCAATTATTCCCCGACATGCTTCAGGATAGGGTTACAGGGATAAGATTTTTTTGTTGTAGTAGATCGAGTTTTAAGAACTCGAACTAGGAGAGATCGAGTTCTATGGACTCGAACCACTTCTCAATCCTTTTGTCCCGACACTTTCGGCCCGACATGCTCCAGAATAGGGTGCAGGAGGAAAATTATTGTTTGCACTGGATCGAGTTTTTAGGACTCGACCTACCCTAGTTCGAGTTCTTTGGGCTCGAACCAGTGCACCAATTTACGAAAATAAAAAGCAAGCACACATTCTGGCAACTCTTATACTTTCTTCTATCTTCTTTCTTCCAAACACAAACTGCAGCAGCTGGAGCACCATAGCTGAGCAAAGAAGAAAATTTTTGGAGGTAAGTTAGTTCTGCTTACGTTGTTTAAATGAGCATATTAGAATTTTGGATTAAGTTAGTATTGGTTGTACTGTATGTAATGAGCTGTTTCTATAAACTGCATAAATGGGTACAAAATTTCGAAAATTCGACTTATTGATTCGGTGGAATGGTCGAATTACACATTTTCATGATAGTATTGACTATGAAGATGGTGAATCAAGTACTGTCCGGATTGAGAGCATATTTACTTGGCAAGAACTCAGCCATATTTGTGCGGAACGATGTTGCATGGGAGGGCGAAGAGTATGCAAGATGACTTACCGTATGCCGGTTTACAAGGATTATGCACTTGTATATGAAGGATCAGTTTTGTCTGACGATGATGACATTAATATGATGCGGTGGTTTATTGCAGAGAACAGATTTCCAACTGCTGAGGTGTATGTCGAGACAGAAGTTGTTGGCCAATATGGTGACCACGGTTATACCGAACAAGGTGAAGGATCGGGAGGGTTTTCCGGTTCAGGAGATTTTAGAGTTCTGCATGATGCACCATGACCAACATACGAGGAGCGAACTGCAACTGGTCCATTGGTGGAACATGACGGACAGGAGTGGCCAGTATGGGGTGAAGAATGGGATTACATAAGGGCACCCAGACAGTCACCCAGACAAGCATCTACACCAGCATCTGGCATCAACAATGATCCGTATGTGGATAAACCAAGTCCTCCATACACTAGCGAGGCAAGCGACGTGGAAGATGAAGAGTTAGAATCAATGAGTAGTTCAGATGGTGAAGATCTGGAAGTTGATGAGGGGGAATTTGAGCCCCCCACACCTCACTACACGATGGTGCCACAACATCCTCTCTATGCTCACAACGACGGTCCTGACATCCCTCCTATACCAATCTGGACTCCTGACTCTGGATTCGTGATTGGCCAAACATTTGGAGGAAAGCCTCAGGTGGTCGATGCATTGAAAGAAACTGCTATGCGAAGAAGCTTTCAATATCGTGTCATCACTTCTGACACTAAAAAAATTCATTTTCGTTGCGAGAACCATGGCGACGGATGCATGTGGCATGTTCGGGTGGCATATGTTAAAAGAAATGGGGCTTGGCTCATTCGTAAGACAGAAAACAACCACACTTGTAGGTCGTCACTGATTTCTCTGGATCACCGACAAATGAGTGCAAGGAAGGTTGCACAAACAATCAAAACATCTGATTGAGGCACAACCTGGGATCACCGTGAAGAGTGTCATCGCTGAAGTGAAAAATCGACATGGCTATACCATCAGTTACAAGAAAGCATGGCATGGGAAGCAAAAAGCTATGGCAGAGGTGTATGGTGATTGGGAAGAGTCATTTGCTAACATGCCTCGTTTGATTCTTGCAATG